CCACCCCCACTGCCCCCCCCCCGTTAAGTCTGTGACCTCAAAGCTGCAGAGGTAAGATGCCCACAAGACCCAGAGCACAGCTCTCCGTTCTGGGTTTCCACTTTGCTTTACTATGAACATGCATGATCATAATAAAATATTTTTAAAATTATCTTAACAAAAATAACAGAAGGAGTTAGACCCTATGTGCGGTGGGGGAAGAACTCCAAGAGCATTGTTTGCTCTGTGGAGAAGCAGGACATGGAATGGCAGGAATCATGCACCCCACTCTGGGAAAACAGACAGCGGGGACGAGAGAGATAAATATTGGCGCTGCTAGGAAGACGGGGGCCTGCTGGGGCTGAGGGGAGGGGTCACGTGCTTCTGTTGTTTGAACTGCTCCAATAAATCCATGTGCTAGTTCGAGAATGATGTAATAATAATAAATTTAATTTAAAAAGAAGTCGAGGACCCCAGCAGAGTTCTACTGGAATACAGAGGTGTCCAGAGAGGCCCTTCTGTACATTGACGACAGCCTGCACTGGGGGTCTCCCTCCAAGTGCCAGCCTCCAGCAACTGACCTGCCTGACTCCTCTGCCCCCATGGAGGCTATGGTTTCCCTCTGCTTTCCTGCCCCCATGGTTCCTGAGCATGCGGTGAGTCTGCACCCAGGGTGGCCTTCCATGCCCATTCCCACCTGAGCTAACCACTTTCCACCATGATGAAAAATAAAGTTACTTAGAAGAGGCTGCCAGGAAGTCCAAATGCCAACCCACCGAATGCAGCATTCTCAGGTGTGTACTATTTCCAGGTGTGTACCCTGTACCTAGTTGTGTACTCTGCACCCCCAGGTGTGTGCCCTGCATCACCAGGAAAGCTGACCCCTCCCTGGCCAAGATTCCCCTTATAGGGGACAGGTCAGTGTACGGTGGGAGTGGAGACTGAGCAGGTATGATCAGGCATCACTCCGACTGGCCACAGACATGGCAGTCTGGATGCCCAGGAGGCTCTGTTCCTGCTCCCTCAATGTAAGGATTTTCAGCAGCTCAGGAAAGCCCCACTGAGTCAAGTTCTGATTTATTTCATGGTCCAGGACCCCTGGCTCCACGTGAAAACCCAGTCTCTCTCCTGACCCTCTCATCTGCTTCCCTGGAAAGAGCCTGGACTCTGGGGATGTGTATGTGCTTGAGGGGCGGGGGAGGAGGAATGCACAGAGGGGCAGGGAGGCAGATGGGGAGGTGGGATCTGCTTTCCCAGACAAGAGCTGGGCTCCCTTGGAACCCCTTTCCTGCTGACCTCAGGGGTCCCTGGGCAAGAGGATGAGAACTGTGTCCCTCTCCATCCCTGGGCTTATGACCAAGCAGCCACCACAGGACCCTTCTTGGCAGGGACCCCACCAGCAAGTCCCTCAGCAGCCCTGGGCTCTGATGGTGTCTAACAGGATGGGGGAGGGGCAGGGGAGGAGCAGGTGGGAGGCAGGTGAGGTCCAGCTCTGTGTGCGCCATTAGCCTCCACCAGGTCATGCTTGAGGCAGGGCAGGCGCTGTCCTAGAGGGGTCAGGAGGGAACTGATACTCACACTGGGTGTGGCGACGGACTATGTTACCAGATTTGCATTTTTAAAAGAGGGTTTAGAGAGGGCAGGGTAGTCAAAAGGTGGAATTACAGACAGAGCAGCAGGAGATACAGGGGCAGGCACTTCGTGCCCAGAGGGCAGCTACCCTAGAGATAGTCAAACAAAAGCCACTGGCCAGGTGACCCATCCAAACCTGGGGACACTTGCCCCTTGAGTGTCCGCCAGGTTCCAGGGACTGTCCCACCACTGGGGTGGACTGTCTCTCAGATATCACATGGTCTCCCTCACAGGCTACAGATGCTCCAAAGATAGGCCATGACAGAATGAACTGGGCTCCACTTCAGAATGACTCTTCCTCGAAACCTGCTTAACATTTGACAGCCTGAGGCAAAACCTATAGAAAAGGTGACACAGGACAGACCCCAACAGGTGACAGTCACAGTTGCCAAATGACATTAGCACACAGCACCCCAATCAGGAGGAATGAAAATTTGTTTTAGTGACATGCCTGCAGTAGGGCCTGTCTGTGAGCAGGACCAGGTATCTATAAGTAGGACCAGGTGTATCTGTGTGTAGGGCCAGTGTTTGTGACCAGGGCCAGGTGTCTGTGAGCAGAACCAGGTGTGTCTTAGAGCAGGGACAGGGGTATCTATGTGCAGGGCCAGTTGTGTCTGTGAGCAGGAGCAGGAGCAGGTGTGTCTGTGAGTCTGTATGCTGGGACAGGTGTGTCTGTGTGCAAGGCCAGGTGCCTGTGATCAGGGGCAGGTGTGGTTTTAAAGGTGGCAGTGACAATAGCTCTATGCTCTCCTGGTTCCCCTTCCTGGACAGGACATGGTTGTGTCCTGAATGCAAAGACGGGTATGTGCCTGTTTTTTCAGGTGTGAATCACCTCCACTCTCTGGCTCCCTCAAGCACATGCTCAGCAACTCATTCCTGATGGCTC